CATCACTGCGGGGAGCAGAGGGCACGGCACAGCCGCGGTGACCTGGCTCTGCTCGGTGAGGGCAGTGAGGAGGGAACGCGCTGCCTTCGCCCTCCGGCAAAGCACGGCTGAACTGCTGAGGTTATTTCAGAGAAAAGGCTCCAGCCCTCCTCGCTGAGCCTCTCCTTCCTCCCTCTCTGCCAGTCAATCCCCGTCTCCAGCTCCTCTGAGGTCTCGTCCCCAGTCCTGTCAGCTCTGCCACATGCTCGCTCCTTTGCTGACAGCACACAGGTCCCGTTGATCTGAGCTCTGTGGGAGACAGTATCAGAGCTCTGCTTGCAAAAGCACTGAGAGGAAGGGGCTGGGGGGTTCGAGCCCTTTGCAATCCTTTGCTGTGGCTGTACTGAGAGGTGCCATGTTACCCCATGAGAAGTCAATCATTTTCCTCCTCTTCCTCAGGAGGATGCCTCCTTCCACACACTGTGGCTTTTGACACAGAGCAAGTCATGAGATCCTGAGGAGGTCAGACCTGCTGCCACGGAGGGCACTGCCGTCCAGAGAGCTTCCCGCTGTCCAGGTCTGGGGATTGCACGGGTGAGCAGGGACAGCATAGGAAATGCTACAAGGGAAAGCCCTGTGTGGGAGCCCAGGAGCCCCTGCCTTCCCACAGCAGACTTATCAAGGCACCAGTTCAGAGTGGTGCTTTCCATGGGCCAAAAGGGAAGTGCATACACACCAGACTTCTCGGGGTCAAGGATGCTGGGCAAGCAGTGAGAGGAGAGGCTGCAGGGGGCAAGGGAGGGAACCGGGGCGTGGGGAAGGAGACACAAATAGCAAAATGAATGGCTTGAACTTCCTATGTTTTATGGAGGCAAATAAAAGGAGACAGAGAGGGGGAGAGAAAGGAGACCTGAGTGTCTGCACAGGCTCTCACGCTCACACAGGCCAGCCCAGACCCCAGAAATTGCTGGGGGCTGATGTGGAATCACAGCCTGCACCCACTTGCTTGTCATGGCTCTGGCCTGGCTTCTTGTCTGGCCCAGTGTCCCCTGGGGGCATCTCATGAAGTGTGACAGGCTGCTGCTTAGCATTTATTCCTCTCCCTGTCATTATTATTTTGAACAGCAGCCAGTATAATTAAAATCATTAGGAGGAAGAGGTTTAGGGAAAATCCAGTGTCTCAGAAGAGCATCTGCAAAGCTGGAGGTCCAAACTCCACCCTGGCACTCACGATGAGCAGGGCCCATGGGAGCCATCACCTCCTCTGCATCCTCCCTTCCATGCTCCCCATTTCTCAGGATGGCAGAGGCTGGGCTAACACACAGGGTGGTCCTGGCCACGTTTCCCTTGCAGCTGCTGCCCACTGTAGCCAAATCCTGCAGCTTTTCCTGGTGTAGGACTTGTCCCAGGAGGTCCAGATGGCAGTGTCCCCAGGCACTGGTGCTTACCTGCAGCCCCAGGACAGATGCAGTGGGAGGATGTAGGGAGTGGAGGACATGGAGCCACGGTGGGCTGCTCTTCCAGAAGAGCAGGGATGGATCCTGAAATATTCCCTGGGAACCATGATGCTTTCTGTTGTGTTAGGAGGGCCTGTGCCACAAGAGGAGGTGTGGAGAGGTCCCTTGGCACCTCAAAGGAGAAAACAGGATGGTCTGTAAGACAGAAATGGAAGACACCATTCATACCACATTCTCCAGGTTTGCTAAGTGTTTGAATGGAGGGTTTGACTGCTCCAGGGTCAAATGTCCCCAGGACTAGGAGATTAAAGACATCAGACATATGCAGCAAGGAGTGGAAGGCAGATCCCTGCCTCCATTCCAGGGCTGGCACAAGTGCATGGTTAGAGGATGAGAGTCAGGAGCCCTCCAGCCAAGGCAGGCTCATGAGGGTGAAAAGGAGAGGAAACACATCAAAACCCCTCCCCAAAATAAGTGCTGCTCTGCCAAAGCCTACGGCAGCTGCTCCCATCTGCCTCAGCATCTGCCAGCTACTGATTTGTCTGCTGTTCTCTGGATGGGGTCACTCATTACCAGCTCAGAGCCCAGTGTGTCACCCAGGACACTCAGTCCTCCAAGCAGTGACCCAAGGCTGAGGTCCTGGAGACCTGAGCACCCCTGAAGTTAAGGGGGTGTCTCAGGTCAGAGCCTCCCTGCAGGTTTTGTGGTGGGTGGATGGACAAGGCAGGCCCTGGAGCGCCTCTCATCATGCTTTTTCCAGAAGTGGACCAGACCAAGCCTCTGGTGGTTGGGACCAGAGAAAGGGTGGGGTTTGATGGCTGATCTCCAAATTACTTGAATTTACTGGGGATTGTGGAAGCAAGGAAAGCTCATCCAACTTGATCCAGCCCATTTGCTGTGTTCAAATCTGCTGAGAGTTGCTTGGGAAATACAGTAGCCCAATGAAAAAAACAGGTGAGATTTTGTGGGGTTTTATTTTGCAGGAAACTTCTCCTGGCTCTCCCAGATCTGCCTGCCAAGGGCAGCTGCCAGCCAGGCACCACATACAGAGACTTTCAGGGAGTCTCTTGGTGTGCAGGGGTCAGCAAAAGCCCCCTCCCAGCCTCTCCCTGACGGACTCGCCCCTGCTCTGTTTTTAGCACATTCAAGTAGCTGCTTTCACAAGAGGTAAAAGAAAGTTCATGGATCCGTTGACAGATCACCCCAAGCGGGAATTTCTCTGGGAATTCCTGCAATAGCAGGTTGGCTCCCGCGGAGGTGGAGTTTCCTCTGGATCTACCTCCACCCAGGCTTGGGGAGCGCTCCGGCCATCGGCTCCACGCTTGGGGGGCTGGGCTGAGCGACGCCACCGCTGCTTTCCAGCCAAGGTCAGCCAGAAACCCTCCCCGCTCTGCAAGTGCCTGGGCTGTGGTGTCCTGTTAACCCTTGGGAGGAGCAGAGCTGCAGGCCAGCAGGGTTGGGCTGCAGAGCTGGCCCGTGCCCACGGGCACACAGGGGCAGGGGATATATATGCCTGGCAGGATATATAATCCTGGTGAGGATTTCGTGCCATTCTGTCCCTCGGGGATCCGCTGCCAAGCAGGCAGAGATGGACCTTGGGTGAGGCTGGTTGCCACTGCAGGAGGCCAGCGCTGGCAGGGTGATGGCTCCTGCTCGAGGCAGAAAGCGACGGGGTGATGGCACTCGGCATCAGTGACTGTGTGCTTTGGAATCCAAGACACGTCCCCGGCCATGCTTGTGGTCAGGAACCATCTCTGCGCTGCAGCGACACAAACCACACTCACAGTGGCAGCAGTGCTGCTCGAGCGTGTCTCTGACGCCAAGGACCGGCATGACCCGACCCCACACACGGGACAGGCAGCTGCTCATTTCCAACCTTCTACAGAAGGTCCCCTTGTTGGGACTTGTTTCCTCCTCCTTAACAGAGGTGCGCCTCTCCAAAATGGCACCCCCTGACTCCACAGCCAGACCCTGCCAAGGGCTGGAGGATTTGCAGGTGCTGCACAGGCTCCAGACTGTGGGGTGGTGGGAACTAATGTTCACAAACAGTTTCAAGGTATCATGCCAGGGAGAGGGTCCGGGGCTCACATTTGGTCTGGGGCCACCTTCACTGATTTAGGGATGAACTGACATCCAGGGAGCAGCTCTTGATCAAGGGGATCCCAGAGCTCTGTGGTATTGCTATAAATCTCCATGGTATTGCTATAAAGAATAGTAAGCTGGCAGCTTACTAGTGGGCAGATTTGGGGGTCAGCCACCCATCAAAGCTTTAGCACTGATCTGATCAATCCTTCTCTCTCTGGAGGTATCCAAAACCCGTCTGGACAAGTTTCAGTGTCACCTGCTTTAGGTGACCCTGACTTCGAAGGGCGGTTGGATGATCTCCAAGCTGTTGAACCCTACCAATTCTATGATTATGCCCTCAGTGACTCAGCTGCCCCAGGACAGACTGCAGATGGAGATGAGTGCTGGGAATTCTGGTTCCCAAGACCTGACTGTGCATCCCGAGGCCACACGTAGCATATCCCTGTGTTTCCGCATGAACTGCAGCTCCATCGGGGCAGGACACGGCCGCTCTTCACCAGCACAATCAGGACCCCCTCTGAAACGTCGGCGCTTGGCGAGGGCTGTGCAGGCTGTTGTGAATGTAAGTTCTTCCTCTGCCAGCAGCCAGCTGGAGGGAGCGACAGCGCTCAGCAGCAGCTCCCGGGGGATGCGCTGCCCTCGCACAGTGTGCGAGTGCCATCTACAGGGGGTCCAGCCTGGCCCCCCAAAACACCCGTCCTCTCACCACGGGTAACTTCTGTCCAGCCCCCGGGGCCGTATGAGGGGCACAGCCTCGGTTTATCCAGGGAGCGGGGTCAGCGCTGCTCCGCACAGCCCTGGACAGCACTCACACTCACAGAATGCTGCAAGAGGCCTGCAAAGCTCATCTTGTTCCAACCCCCTGCCACAGGCAGGGACACTTTCCACTATCCCAGGGTGTTCCAAGCCTCGTCCAACCTGGCCATGAACACTTCCAGGGATCCAGGGGCAGCCACAGCTTCTCTCGGCACCCTGCGCCAGTGCTGTCACCACCCTCACAGGGAAGAATTTCTTTCCAATACCTCATCTAACCCTGCCTTCAGTCAGCATGAAGCCGTTTCCCCTTGCTCTGTCACTCCAGGTCCTTGTCCAAAGCCTCCCTCCATCTCTCTTCGCGCCCCTTTAGGCACGGGAAGGGGCTTTAAAGGTCTCCCTGTACCTTCTCTTCTCCAGGCTGAACCCCGTAGCTCTCAGCCTGTCTTTACTACAGAGGTGCTCATTATCTCCGTGGCCTCCTCCGGACCCGCTGCAGCATTTTGGGACACGGCTGTTCCTGCCCCCGCGGTCGGGGACCGGGGGTCCCTCAGCCCCGGCTCCTCTCCGAGCCCCCTGCGCGGGCCGAACCGCAGCCCCCGCAGCGCTCCCGGCGGCCGGGCGGCACCGAGCGGCACGGGCGCGGGCCACGCTGGGAGTTGAAGTCCCGACCACGGGCTGCTCTCCGGTAGGCGGCGGGTGGAGCCGACGTTCCGACGACTACAACTCCCGTCGTGTCCCGCGTGCGCCCGCCCTGACTGCGGCACCGGGGGCTGAGGTGGGCACCGGGCACCGACCGCAGCTCCCCCCGCCCGGACCCCCGTCCGGCCCCGGCACCGATCCCGGGGAGCGGCGCGATGGGCGGGGAGGACGAGATCGTGCGCATTGCCAGGCGCCTGGACAAGATGGTGGCCAAGAAGAACGCGGTGAGTGGCGACGGCAGGGCCCCCGGAGCCCGGTTGGGGTGGGGGCCGCCCCCTGCCCCGGCCTCTTGTCTGGCGGACGAGCCCCCCTCCTCTTTCCGCAGGATCCCCTCCTCGCTGCAGCGCTGGTGGATCCCCACCTCTCCCTCGGTGCTCGTTGTGAGGGGCCTCCCCCTCCCCAGACCCCATTTTGGGGGCCTCTCTTTCAGCGCCGCCCCGGTCATTACATCGTGCTGGATGGAGCAGAGGCTCCCCCCATTAAAATGGGGTTCCCACGCCCAGGCCTCTTCCTTCTCTCCCTTCCCCATCCTTGGCAGAGGTGCGGGATCCACCCACCGCCAGTCAGTGGGCGGGCAGCCCTAGGTGCCCCCGTGGGTGCTGTGGGAGCCTCCAGTCCCCATACTGAGCCCCCCCACGCCAGGCCTCAGGCGTCCCCAGCCCACATCTCAGCACTCCGGGGCTCACCCTGTGCTGCCTGCCTAGAGAGCATCCTCAGCTCCTCTCCTCTGTCCCGTTGGGAGCCTTTTGGATGGGGAGTCCCCACCAGCACCGCCCTGGGGCTTCAGTTTGTCCTCGGGGAAAACCCCGGTGCTGATGGATTTGCTTCCTGCATTCTCCATCCCACACCGGCACTACTGCTCAATCCTGTGGCCTCTGGAGTGTGGAGGGCTGGCCAAGTCTCGCAGGGTGTGCTGTGACCCGTGTGACAGCCTGGGGGGACAGGAGCCGGTATTTTCCAGCTTAATGGGATATATCAGTGCTTGTAGGAACACAGTGCTAAGGCAGAAAGCTGACCAGGGTTTGTGACGGAGGTAGGCTGTACATCTGTGTTTGGGGTGGGGGAGAGGGATTTGGGGCTGGGAAGGGTGTGGGGAGTGGGAGATGATGGGCGAGGAGGGGAGGGATTAGAGGAGTGTGATAGTCGTGTGGTGGGATGCTGGGTGCTATTATCACATGAACTTTTGGATGTTGGACTGGCCCTGCCAGCCGTGGGTAGGGCAAGCACTGTCACTTGTGGCGCTGTTGGAACAACCCAGGGAGGTGTGTTTGGGCTAAAGCCCAGCCCATGATGTCTGTTCTTGCTGGTGGCAGGGTTTCAGCATCAGTGTTGAAATAGGAAAGGAGCAACTTCGCAGAATTTGCTTCCAGCTTCATTGGGAAAGAGGCAGCTTCTTACAGGAGGGGGTGCAACATTTCCTCTTGGCTGGTGTTTTGAGATAGTGCTGAACTGCAGCATGATGTGTGTTGGCTAATCTTAGAACTCTTCCTGCAGGACAGTTTCCTGGAGTACCTGTTTGTTGTTCTAGTTTTTTTCATGGATCCTCATTTGCTGCCATTGTGCCGAGTGGCTCCATTTGGAGTCAGGAGCCACCGGGTCACTTTGGGTGTCCAGGGCTGGAGGAACGGGAAGGTGTGAAACTGCCTGAGGGGGATGTCAGTCGTTCTGGGTACGGTAAACGTGTGTGGTTTATGCTGGTGTGAGTTGCTTGTGTGCACGCTGAAAGCTTTGACTCTGCTTCGATTTTGGCATCTGTTCTGTAGGGTGGATTGCAGCTGGATTGCTTCCTGGGATGTGTTGGAAGCAGCCCTTCTGCATAGGGAGGACGGGATGTGAGGACAGGGCTGGCAGTGCAGGCGGCTTCGCTTCCCTACAATGGTGGCTGTGCAGGCCTTGTGCTGCAACTGGGCTTGGAGTGGTCGGTGTTGTAAATGAGCTGCTAAATGTGAACACTGGAAGCCTTGTTTGAGGGAAGGGGGTTGGGAGGAAAGAGCCAGCTGAACGGAGACAGGCCTATGCCAGGCTGGGATGTGCTAGAGGGAGACAAATGATTTCCAGTTCTCTGAGGGACTGCCAGTTTTAGGTATCTACAGATTCCTAGTCAGATTTTTCCTGGTCCTGGGTTGTGGGATGTAGAGATGATGTAAGGAGACTTCACAGAACAAGTTTCAAATGACCAACTCTTCAGCATCACAGCTTGTTGGCTTTGCTCCTGGTCTCAGCTTTTGTCCTGAGCAGAGTGGAGTATTAATAAGAAAACTAGGAAACAGTTACACAGAGTCACTGACAGTTGTAATTCAGAGTGTGTTTTTCAGGTGTTATTATGTTCAGCGTGCCAGGTAAGGATAATAAACTAATGCTGCACTTACACCATACACAAGCAAGGACCTCTAGCACTCCAGTGATCTTCTGTTTTGCCCATTCCAATAATTCAGGTTGCAGGATCTACTGTCTGGAACAGCAACCCCAGCAGTGAGCTTACTGATGTTTCAGGGAATGCCTGTTGGTGTTTTGCCCTTTGAATTTAACTTTCTGTGTCTATTCACAAGATATTGAATTTCTTTAATAAAAGCTGAGGTACTCTTTCTCTTTTCCTCTCCAGGAAGGTGCAATGGATTTACTGAAAGAACTGAAAAGTATGCCTATGACTTTGGATTTACTGCAGGTGAGTTGCACAGTTATGGAAAAAAAAGCTGAAGTTTGCATCTGGATGAGTTAAAAATGTTGTCTAAATAAACTTAATATATTTCCTCACACTTCTCACCTCATGCAAAGAATCAAAATAAACATTAAATTCAATAAAATAGTGCAGAAGTTGGGTTTTGGACTGTCAGTTAAAGAACTCTGGGTCACC